AGAAGATGTGGTACATATACACAATGGAATATTATTCAGCCATAAGAAGAAAACAAATCCTACCATTTGCAACAACATGGATGGAGCTAGAGGGTATTATGCTCAGTGAAATAAGCCAAGCAGAGAAAGACAAATACCAAATGATTTCACTCATATGTGGAGTATAAGAACAAAGAAAAACTGAAGGAACAAAACAGCAGCAGAATCACAGAACCCAAGAATGGACTAACAGTTACCAAAGGGAAAGGGACTGGGAGAATGGGAGGGAAGAGTGGGTTAAGGGTGGGGAAGAAGAAAGAGGGTATTAAGATTAGCATGTATAATTTTGGGGTGTATGGGGCGGGTTGTGCAACACAGAGAAGACAAGTAGTGATTTTACAACATCTTACTACACTGATGGACAGTGACTATAATGGGGTTTGTGGAGGGGACTTGGTGAAGGGGGGACCCTAGCAAACATAGTGTTCATCATGTAATTGTAGATTAATGATAACAAAATAAAAAATAATAATAAGAAAAGATTACTCCAACCCTGGAATTTTAAATAATAGGAACCTTTTTGATAAAAAGCTTAGACTGATGAGTTTGCATTTTATTTCAATAGCAGTATAATATAAAGAGAATATTGCATTGGTGTTTACTGAACAAGATTGTAACTTAATAAAAATCAAATGTTGTTATTATAGTATTTGAAGGTAAATTAAACAAAAAAAAGAGAATGGAGAAATGACCATGAAACTAATATAATAGCATAAGTGCAAGATAGTAAAAGTTTGCACGAGACTAGACTAGATATGAAAAGACAACACTAATAATACTCTAAAAAGAAAAGTGACTTTTAAATCACTGTAAGATTGTGAGTACTGGAAAATAAGAGGATTTTAGGAAATAAAGCCAAATCTTAGTACTGTTGTGATGATCAAATGACATCATATAATTTATAAGGTAAAAACACGATGAACATCTAAGGAACTCAAAAAGCTTAGGGTACTCTTCTGCTTGTTGAGCTGGGTTTTGACATCTATGTGTTAATTGTTAGCAGGCTCTACACACCTAGGTATCATGTAGGCTATTAAAGATATAAGACTGAAGAAAGAGAACAACTAATTTAAAATTCTCCTCTCTTTAGATACATTATATAACTTTAGGCTGAGTAATTTGAAAATACAAAGATTTCCAATTCAGAAGAAAATATATTACCTTAATTAGAGCAGTATGCAAGGTTTATGGAAATAATTATCTCTGTTGGTAATTGACCATCCTTATTTAGCAGTTGCTAGAGAAATAGTTTAAATCTGGACAAATAGGTTAACGTTCAGAATGACAACTTGAGGAATGCATTAAATTCTCAGTAAGAAAAATTTAAATCCCCCTCAAAAAAATATCACAGTGGCACTTGCACTTACATTCTGCCAACATTCCTACTGCCTTACACTTTTTCAGTCTGCACTCTTGACATTTTCTACGCATATACATGTCCATTTCACAGTGACCACCATTCTTGCAACTATATACTGCATTTTTGGTGATGCTCCGTCGAAAAAAGCCTAATAACAAAAAAAATAGTGTTTAATTTTACTAGTGTACTTGGCTATTTTTATTAATATATACCTTCATAGTAGAGTTAAGTAATCAAGTTACCTAAGTTATTCCAATAAAACGTTTTTCCCCTCAATAAGAAGATTTGGTTTAATATACAGTTACCTGGATAATTATTTTATTTCTCTCATGATTAATATGTTCTATCCCAACGTTGTTCCTTTCAATAATCACATCTGGAAATTAAACTAAATAGCCCCATCACATTAAGACAACTCTCTCTTTTACTATCATATAATGTCATCTAAAAGCATTTTTAAAACTACCTTATACAGAGCATCAAGATTCCATGAAGCATCTCTCAAGATTCCCTTGAAAGAATATGTGCTCATGTAAAATAAAACTGGGGAAACCTCGTCCTCTCTCCTCATATTTCCCGTAAAGGAGGAGACACTCTTTCAAAATTTCTCCTCTGACCCTCTCCTTTTTTTAGCACTTCCCCAGGTAAGAAAATACTGCTAGTTTATTTGGTCTGAGATATTGACTGGGCCATGTTTTCTGCACATATATGTGTGTTTCCAGATGGTGGGACATCTGCATTTTCTCTTTCACTTCCTAAATCCATGCATAGCAGTTCCTCTCCCATTTCCTCTTTCATTTCCCATTCCTAAGTAGTAATCCTTGCTATCTTCCTCTTATTCCATTCCAAGCAGTAAAGTTGATAAGCTTAGTCAATGCCCTTCTTAGAGGCCTGTCATATCCTTTTTCTCCATGGATACATTTCAGAGTAGAAGTTTCATCATTTAGTTTCAACAAAGGGAGTAGAACGCTCGGCTTAGGTTTTCCAGAACTATGCCACATTCTTCAAGTTAGTTTTTACAACAAGGCCCTGCATTTTATTGTGTGTGTATATATATATATATGTGTGTGTGTGTGTGTGTGTGTGTGTGTGTGTGTGTGTGTGTATTTTTTTTAAGTCCCTGAATTTTAAAAGTAAGCAAACACTGGCCCAGTTATTGTATTCATAAAGTCGGTACCCACTTCCCATGGTCTTCATTTGGCTATTTTGTGCGGGGTGAGTTGTGAGACTCTGACAGTAAAACTTCACCCTGAACTACTTAATAGGCATGTTTACCTAGTACTGTACTGGCCTAATTATTTCCAGGCTCTGTCCCAATACAGCATTTGTAAATAAAAACAATGCAGAAGTTCTTCAAAACCTCAGAATGTCATGAAGGACTATTTCACTCTTTGAAAATCCCTTTGTCAATGATAATCTTCACTTGCAGACCTCACATTTGTTTTCAAAAATTCCAAAAAAAATACACTTAGAATCTTAGAAGGTATTTAATCAAATTCCCTCTTAAGGCATGAATTATATCAACCATATGAGAATATGAAATAATTAATATCCAGGTCTTTTTAAAAGTTATTTTCTATTCCAACATGAGATTCATCTAGGATCATGGAAACCTACTATATAAATATTGAATATTACATTTAAGTGTAAAAGCTCTGATCAAAAATGAAAACTGAATCAAAACTTCATTACATCCCATTTTCATGTCCTTTTGTGCCATAGACTGATCACCTTTATACATATCACTGGCTCTCCCTGGTTTTATTTTTCACACTTTAAAAAGTAAGCGTAGCCTTACATGCCTAAAATTTCAGGACCCTTCAGTAAATACTAGAATTTCAATTTTGTTTTAATTTTGTCCTTACCTTTACAACCTTCACAAGTAAGTGCATTATAATGATATCCTGATGCTTTATCACCACAAACTACACAGGGTTCTTCCTGTCCCTTAATTCGCATGGAAGAATGAGTTAGTCTGGACCTTTTTATTCCAGGGTATCCATCTTCAGCATCATGGGCACCCACATAAGTGGGTTTATTTAATTCACAGGAACCAAGTCCACACTCTCCACCACTGAACTGTGGATCTGAGCTATAGGTGCTGAAATGACTTTGTAGAGATTGAGACTGTAGAGCTGGAGGAAACTGGACAGTAGAATACTGGCAATAAGGTGATTCCTGAAAATCAGTTTCATGCAGCTGATAACTGACTTGTTCTGGCAAAATATCTAGTGTTTTAACATAAAAAAGAATAAATTGTTAAAAAGTCAAAATTTCATAATTTTTTTCGAATTTCAAAGAGTTTTAAACTCAACAGAGTTAGTTCAACATGCCAGGGACTTGCTGTCCAGCATGAGGGACAAATAGTAAACTGAATTGTGATGCCTGGTAAGTGCTGCCATCCCTTGTTATGCAGAGGTTGCTCAGGAGTTGGGAGAAAAGGCAAGAGTTCCTAATGGCTTACATACCAATCCAGTCTTCCTCCTTAAATAGAAATTAATGTTTTCCAGAGTTTGGAATGAAAGGTGTTCCCCATCTTCTGCAATTCCCTTGTGGATGTAATTGTTTTCAACGCAATCAGGTCAATAGAGAAATTTAATTAATTATCCCACCTCTCCCACTAAAACATAATTTTACCAGTTATCTGGTTACTTCAAGCAAAAAGAAAGTTTTTTGTTTAACTCCCCATTTAATATATCTTAACACCCTCTTTCACCATTTGTAGACCTGATTAAAATCGCTAGTTACTTTTTTGTTTTGTTGTCTGGCAATTCTTACTTGCAATTTTATGGGAATAAATTCATCTATCTCACAGGGTCACTGTAAGGATGAAATAAAATATGGTATGAAAAAGCACATATAAAACATAAAAGGATAATGATAGCATTATTACTATTATTATCTGAAGCTTCCAAACACCAGCTTACTTTCTACTTTCAAAAGAATCACTAAATTAAAGTCCAGAAAATTGGCTTCAAAGGTCTTAGGAATGCTTAGTTGCTTTATAACTAACTAGTCAAATTTGTACTTTCCTGGTGCTGAATCACCAAAAAAATTTTTACCCTCAGAATTCTACCAAGATTGGTAAATAGTTTAGTTTTTATTAATTCACATAAATCATTTGCAAATCATTATAGCATCCAGTACAGTGCAAAGTGTTGAGTAAATACCAATGACACCCTGATATAAGAAGAGAAGTTATCGGTAAAAATTAAGTAGCTTTTAAAAAAAGAGGGCCTTGTCATAAAGGCATCAAAAGACTGAATACTGGGTGACGTTCCATCGGCATGAAACTCAGAGTTCAAACTAAAAGAAAACTGCATTTAAAATTAAATTTATATTATAACCTTAGTTTTTTTGGTGAAAATTCCTATTGTCTCTTGCATTGTTTTCTTTCCCTTTGATAAAAATCTTACATTACGATTAAAATTTTGAGTATTCTAAATAGCTACTCTGAGCTACATTACTGACTTGCATGTGAACTAGTTCAGCTAACCCCTAAAAGTAACTTCTAACTTGCATGTTAATTCCATTTTTAGAAATTTAATACAATTCTAGACTATTGTACTTTCCCTTCATTATATATGATTCTGGCTTACAACATTTTAGTATAACCGATTTTCTTAATTAATTATATTCCTATATAGGTAATAATTTAAAGTCTTTGATTCATTTGTTAATTTCTTTTCTTGAAAAGCCTCTGTAATTAACCATAATTTCCCCAAAGAAGTTTCATTAGCTATTATACTGTAGGTTTTTGTTACATACCATAGTACTGTACCGGTTCAGCAAGACAGTACCCATCAGACACAGTGACATAAGTATTTGCCATTATCTGGTCCAATTCTCACTTCATCAGTGAATGCCAACATAGAACCTGAAGGAAACAAAAATGTTGTGGACTATTTGAAAGTCTGATTATCAAATCAGTATGATTTTTTACAATACTGTTTCTGAAAAATAAAGAATTTTGGCTGAATTTAGACATGAAACACATATTTATAGTTTAACTGGAAAATATTGATCATTTTTCATATTTCTACACATCGGATTATCTGCCAATTTCTTATGGCTCAGCTCTTTACAAAAAACTTAATGAATCTTGGAAATAATCATTGTGGCTCTTGAAAATGTACCAAGCTTTGGAGTTAGACTTCATACACTACCTTCACCACTTCTTTATGGGTTATTTATTAAACTGCCCTGAACCTTAGCTTCCTCATTTGTTGAAGAGAAATAAATAAAACCCTCCAAGCAAAATTTTTGGGAGAGTTTAATTACTATAAGTAAAATCCAGCACTGTTCTTGATTTAATAACTGATTCCCATAGTAATTATTCTAATAGTTTCAAGATCTCAGTGTTCTAAATTTAGATGAATTATGATGAAAAATTAGAGATTTTCATGAATGAAATTAGAGAGTAAGAAAAGAATGGCTTTCATAGAACTTAAAAAAAAACTTTCTACGTCCTTTGTAAATATTTTTCATAGCTCTGTGATATGCTAAACATAAAACATTAATTCTGGTTCTTGACAAATGCAAATAACTATTGATTACTGAAAAAAGTGTTTAATTTTTATACTAAAGCTTAAAAAGCATAATTTGTTATGAGGAAAAATTATTGAAAATTTAAGACTATCCTTTATGGGAAAACTATTTATTTTTGTTATTTCCTGTGAAAGAACTCCAAAAATAATGCATCTTTGAATAGAGTTAAACAGGAAATCACAGCATAAGAAATCAGAAGTTATCAGAAGAAAATAAAGGTCACTCTAGAATCCATCAGCATATTTTATAGCTTTATCTTCTTTATTAGAAGATAATGTTTTCACCCTTAAAAAGAGCCAAAAAAGAAGAAAATGGGTTCTAAATCATTTCCAAAGATATACATGACAAACTTCTGAGATTATATTGAAAAACTTTTTACTTTGACTTATTACTCATGTGTTGGCTTCATGACTAAGGTTTCTTCGTATATTCATGAAGGTGATTTAAATAGCGCTATCTCTGAAATTTGTCTCAATCATCTAATAGGATCCAGCTTCCTTTAAAAGAACTTAAATTTCCCACTGTTCTGACAGCGGTTGTATGGGATGGAGCAGGTGAAGCAAAAGTGGTGCCCCCAGTTAAATTGCAATTTCAGTATTAAGTTTTCCTCAAAAAGTAAGGACTAAAATCAGTAAGATCAGTTCTTTACAGTATAACTTCTGTTTTTCCTATATTACAACAAGTCAATTGGCTCTCCACATTAAAAGAATTCTGAATGCTACTGGCTTCACTTGTGTGATTACTTTTTAGCAAAAATCCTGTTTAGTTCTTTCCAAACTTCTCTTCGGAGTCTCAGTTAGATTTTAGAAAATTAAAAATGAATGTGAGAACTTGATGTTGTTATTCACCCTTCTTTTAAAAGTGATGCATTTACCTTTAGGCTTCATATAATATTAAATACCTGAAGAAGATTGAAAATTAAAAAGTATTTGGTACTGCTTAGATATAGACTTTGCTGAGTGAGAGTTCAATTGAAAAATAATGTAGATCGAACAAGAGGTAGCACATTAAAACAAAATTGTCAACATCCTGACAAAGAAACATATAAATACCTTATAATAATGCCACTGTAAGGGTTTGTATCATAAGAAACAATATTTTAAAACCAAGTCCTTCCAATATTGATAAATAAGTGCCCAAAAATATTGTCTAATGCAAACCTTTTTTGTTGTTGTTGTTTATTTTTATTTTTTTATATACATTTTTTAAATTAAGGTATTATTGATATACACTCTTATGAAGGTTTCACATGAAAAACAATGTGGTTACTACATTCACCCATATTATCATGTCCCCCCCATACCCTACTTCAGTCACTCTCCATCAGTGTAGTGAGATGCTACAGAGTCACTACTTGTCTTTTCTGTGCTATTCTGTCTTCCCCATGATGCCCCCATACCAGTGTACTAATCATAATACCTCTCAAATCCCTTCTCCCTCCCTCCCCACCAGTGCTCCCCTTTGGTAACCCTTAGTCCCTTCTTGGAGTCTCTGAGTCTGTTGCTGTTCCTTTATTTTGTTCCTTCAGTTCTGCAAACCTATTTTTATCATATTATGAACTAGTTATAGTCCAGGGCATATATGAGACATACACATTAATAATCCTTTGATTTAAAATACTCCTTTTTAAACATGAAATATTTATCTCTTTTGTATGTTCATAGTAATAGTTGCATTATTTTCTATATAAAATTTTTTACTAAATTAAATTTTTCCACAAACTTTTAAATGTTTAATGGAAGTATTATAATATGTATGTGTAATAAAACAAAACTTTCAGAAATGAAGTGTTTAAAAAATTGGTTTTAAAATACTTAAGTAAATCATTAATAACATACAGAGAAGCATGTAATCAAAAACCTCCTATCCTTGTAAAGTAAAGAGAAAAGTTACGATGAGCCTGGAATGATTCCATTTGTTATCTTTCCTAGTAAATATTTATTTAAAATAAAAATAACTTAGTTAAGAGAGGAGTTTTTATCAAGAGGATCAATTTGGCACGGGCAAAGTCTATATTTTTTCTTTAACAAATATAACTTTATAAAAAAACTATTTTTCACATATTATGATAGCTACTCTACTGAATAGATGCCTAATTGCATCATCTCTGCCTTAACTGTAATTTGTTCTTAGTAAATGTTAATATATCTAGAACTTTAACAGGAAAAACATTGACTCCTGAGAGCTACATCTATATGGTAAATAATTTTACAGCTTTTATATTTTTACTCTTGCAATATATGCCACTTTAATCATGAATAATGTATTGCATGAAACTGATATAACTGAAAAGTGAAAAACATTTTAGTTTTCATAATACCCTCTATTAAAAAATGAACGCTTCTATATGAATATGCTATATGATCTATATTATAAAAAGGTTTTTCGTAGAAGGGCTTCTTTGAGCCAAAATTCTCCGAGGTTATTGGAATCAAGAAAAATGAAAAGAATATATTTGAGTAACAATACAAATTAAGGCTTTTTGATTCTTTTATAAGACTCTATCCTTTAACTTTAGAATACAGGGAGGATTTTATACTGTGAAGTCTTCACAGATAGTTACATGATACAGTCGTATTGAAATGTAATTTACATAACAAAATTAATTCTTTTAAGGTGTAAAATTTCAGTGTTTTTTAGAATATTCACAGAATGTGCAACTGGAACCACCATCTAATTTCAGAGCATTTTTATCACCCCAAAATGAAATCCCATACCCTTAAGCAGTCATTCCCCATTCCCTCATCCCCCAATCTCTGGCAACCACCAATTTCCTATTTCTATCGATTTGCCTATTCTAGACATTTCACACAAATGTAATCATACAATTTCATATATAGTTTTAAATGGAAGAAGTATTTAATTAATACTGTCAAGTAATTTTCACAACTTAGGAAAGATAGAAAAAATATTTAGAAAATTAATGTTTATGAAATTAATATTTTATATACTTCAGAGATATAGAAGTATATTTATGTCTATTTCCATAATAGGGAATAATTTTCATAATTATAACATCAAAACATTTTCAACAGAGGTGTAGTTTCCTGAATATACCTTTATCAGAATATATTTCAAGTTGTTTTGAATTCATAACCAATTGTTTAGTTATAAAAAATAAAGTACATTTTATCAATAAGCTCTTGATTTAAAAACATGTTTCATTTTTAAATATAATTGTTAACATTACTGTGAATTGACTTGAGTTATTACATCAAATGTCAACTAAAATACAACTATATTAAAAAATTGCATTGTCATTCTTTAGGAGAGAATCAAATCACTGCGTAATCTACTTTTCTTAATTAAATTTCTCTATTTTCACAGGGAAGATGCTTTTTATAATTTAACTTTCATATTAACAATAGTTGGGTTATTCAGTTTGAAAAAATTAAATTGATAATGGGAACTAAAGATCTCTAAAAATACCCTTTTTATTAACATCTTACAGTTTAATAATAGTTTAAATTAACAAAATTAACATTCATACTTAATTTGGACAGCATAAAATTATAAAAATATTCTCATTTGAGAGAAGACAAAATACTCACAGTTATATGACATTACTAGAGATTGTTCTTTTCCTCACAGAATGAATCTAAATACATTTAACAATGACTTCAACTTCCCAGCTGGAGCAAACTGAGCTGTTTCCCTATTTATCAAGGAATGGAGAGGCGGGCACACTGCATACACTTAGGCTCCAGACACTTCGCAGAGCAGTGTTTCAGCTCTATCTCAGAGACAAACTTCCCACACAATCCTCTCTTGGGTCAAAACAAGGGCAGTTACAAGCTGACATAAATCAAATAATAACCAGATCTTCAAGGATAGAGGCCTTTGGTCACACTATCCCAGAATTCCTTTTGTTTACTTAATAAATATTTTGTTTTCCTGATTGAATTTGACATTCTCTCATTTTGGTTGCAAAACATTGGTCTCTACAAACCACTAGGTAATAAATTCAGGAAAGAAAAAGCACTTATTAATTCAAACTAATATAGGTGCTGTAATAATTCAACTTGAAGTTTATCTTTGCAGTATCTACCCAAAAAAAGAATTTTTAAGCCAATTAGAAGTGTGAATAATAATTCATAGACTGGAACAGTGTTAAATGTGTACAAAACATTTAGTCTAGCCCTCTTATTTTTTTGGCAAAGAAAAACTGCAACAATAATAGTCCTTGTTCAAGTTCTCATAGCTAGTTAGCAGCAGATGAAACTGAAAGTCCAAGCCACTGAACAGGATACATAAATAACTTCATTATGATTTTTATTTAATGTCACTTACACAAACAAAGTCTGTTGGATACTAGGCTCATAGCCTCATGCCTTTAAGGCATTTCTGCAGAGACTTGCTTACAAATGTATTCCACCACTAAACTCTGTTTCTCCTGGTCACACTTCCTCTGACCTATAACTCACCTATTTCATGTGACTCTAGGCTCTGGTCTCTGTCCTGCCTAGTTCTACTTTCACATTAGCATGGCACAGCTTCAGTATACACCTCTACCTTTCCTGGATCTGATCTTAGACCAAATCCAGTTTCTGACTTTGCAACTACTGTACTGATGCTGAATTCTTCAAGGGTTCTCATCTACTACTGGGCCAAATTCATGATAAAATCTGCAAGCCTTGCCACATGGAGTTTTGTTTACTTTTTCAGATGTAGGACACATTATTTAAAAATTTTTAATCAGTGAACCAAAGAATAACAATCACAGAGTTAAAATTCTGTGATTAATTAAAATCCATTAATTTCAGGTGTACAGCACAATTATTTCATATTTGTATTTATTATAAAATGATATCAGTGTAAGTCTAATTAACATTGGTAACTATACATAGTTAAAAATAACTTTTCTTGTGATGAGAACTTTTAAGATCTACTCTCAGCAACTTTCAAATATGCAATACAGTATTATTAACTATAGTTGCTATACGGCACATTACATTCCCATGATTTATTTATTTTATAAATGGAAGCTTCTACTGTCTGAGCCCCTTTGCTCATTTCACCTGCCCCTCTATCCCCCAGCCTCTGGCAACCACCAATCTGTTCTCTATCTGTGAACTTGGTTTTTGGTGGGTTTTTTATTTTATATTCCACATGTAAGTAAGCTCATGTAGTATTTGTCTTTCTCTGTCTGCCTTATTTCACTTAGCATAATGTGCTCAACTCCCACCCATGTTGTTGCAAATGTCAAAATGTCATGCTTTCTAATAGCTAAATAACCATATATGTCATTTTACATATATGTATCACATTATCTTTAACATCCATCCATTGATGAACATGAACACTTAGATTATTTACTTATCTTGGCTATTATAGATAATGTGGCAGTGAATATAGGGGTGCCTAGGAAATGCAAATTAAAACCACAATGAGATATCACCTCACACCAGTTAGGATGGCTAACACTGACAAGACTAGGAGCAACAAAAGCAACAAATGCTGGCGAGGATGCAGAGAAAGGGGAACCCTCCTACACTGCTGATGGGAATGTAAATTAATTCAATCATTGCGGAAAGCAATATGGATGTTCCTCAAAAAACTAAAAATAGAAATACCATTTGACCCAGGAATTCCACTACTAGGAATTTGCCCAAAGAAAACAAGATCTCAGATTCCAAAAGACATATGCACCCTATGTTTATCGCAGCACTATTTACAATAGCCAAGAAATGGAAGCAACCTAAGTGTCCATCAGTAGATAAATGGATAAAGAAGATGTGGTACATATACACAATGGAATATTATTCATCCATAAGAAGAAAACAAATCCTACCATTTGAAACAATATGGATGGAGCTAGAGGGTATTATGCTCAGTGAAATAAGACAGGTGGAGAAAGACAAGTACCAAATGATTTCACTCATCTGTGGAGTATAACAACAAAGCAAAACTGGAGGAACAAAACAGCAGCAGACTCACAGACTCCAAGAAGGGACTAGTGCAAAGGGAAGGAATGGGGGAGGGCAGGTGGAGAGGGAGGGAGAAGAGGATTGAGGGGTATTATGATTGGCACACATGGTGTGCATGGTGATCACGGGGAAGACAGTGCAGCACAGTGAAGACAAATAGTGACTCTGTGGCATCTTACTATGCTGGTGGACACTGACTGCAGTGGGATGTGGGGGGGGACTTGATAACATGGGTGAATGTAGTAACCACAATGTTGATTATGTGAAACCTTCATAAGAGCATCAATGATACCTTAATAAAAAAAATATACATAGGGGTGCCTATATTTTTTCAACTTAATGTTTTCTTTTTCTTCAAATAAATACCCTCAAGTGGAATTGCTGAATCATATGTTTAAGTTTTTGAAGAACCTCCATACCATTTTCCATAGTGATTATACCAACTTATATTCCCACCAACAGTGCACAAGGGTTCCTTTTCTCCACATCCTCACCAACACCAATTTCTTGTTTTTAGTGATGCTAGCTGTTCTAACAGGTGTGAGGTGCTATCTTATTGTGGTTTTGATTTGCATTTCCTTGATAATCTTTTCATGTACCTGCTGTCTATCTGTATATCTTCTTTAAAAAAAAAGTCTATTTTTTATCCTCTGCCATTTGTTAATTGGATTTTTTGGGTTTTTGCTATTGAATATATGAGTTCTTTATATATTTTGGGTATTAACCCCTTATCAGATATATAATTTGCAAGTATTTTCTCCCATTCAGTAGGTTGCCTTTTCATTTTGTTGATGATTTCTTTTTAGTTTGATGTAGTCCTACTTGTTTATTTTTGCTTTTGTTACCTTTGCTTTTAGTATCATATCCAAAAAATCAGCGCCAAGACCAATGTCAAGGAGCTTACCACCGATGTTTTCTTCTAGGAGTTTTACAAATTATTTGTACCATTTAAATAATTCCCAATTTTAACCTTTATTTATAAACAGAATTATTAGTTTCTGTATTCAGGTTTTATATCTTCAAATGCTCAGTGATCCAGACTTTTCATTAATTCATATCATCTTGATCACTCACACCCTCAATCCCACACTGATCATATCTGAGATATTAAAATACATTGGCAGTTGGTTTCCTTATTTAGTTTTACAAAGAATAATTCATTCAGACTTTACAAAATTTTACATGTACTTCCCTGGTTTATAACGACACCCTAAACTTACTGTGATGTTAACACAGTACTAAGTTCAAGGTAACTGGATATGTAAAAATATACATTAATATTTTGAAATAAGGAAAGCAGAACATATATTTAAATTTTACACAGGCTACTGTCACCTAAGCATTCTATTTATTATCACATAGTTCAATAATCATAAATAGTGAAATCTCTTGAAGTTTATTATTTTTATTCAGTCACTCAATACATGGCTAGCCTAGATATAGATAAATAGGTATATGCTATTTAAAACAAATATTAACATTATTACCTTATCAATACATGCCATTTAAAATAAATATTAGCATTGTTACTTTATCAGTAACAAACAATCTAAAGAATCACAAGTCTGATTACAAGTCTAACCTACTTGTTTGCTGTAAAGTTCAGAGCCTCATTAGTGAAGCCTCTTGAGGTGACATCCAAGCCAAGATGTAAAGGATGATAAAAAGCAAATCACAGGAAGAGCTGAGGGATCAATGTTTTAGTGGGAACAACCCACTATGGTATGTTGGCCTATGTAACGTTGAAAGAAGGCCGGGGTAGTGAATGGTGAGGGAAGACAAGATTTGGACAAGATGAAATACATTTTATTCTGGAGAGGAAATATAAACCTGATTGCAAGAGCCTTACAGAGAAGTCTGAATTTTATTCTGGGTATAAGAGGAAATCATAGAAGGATTCTAAGCAAACAGATGCATAATCCTAAGTATATATTTTATTTTCTTAATTAGGATTTTTTATTAAGATCATTATAGATTCACTTACAGTTGTATGAAATAGTACAGAGAGGTATGTCTTCTGCTTAACCCAATTTTCCCCAACAGTAATATTTTGCAAAACTCTATAGTACACTACCATAACCAGGATATTGACATTTATACAAACCACCTATCTTATTCAGATTTCCCTAATTTTACTTATACTCATTTTTGCATAAGTATTAAATTCTACACAGTTATATCACTCATAGGTTTATGTATCCATCATCACAGTCAAGACATTGGATAGTTCCAAGTTCGCCAGAATCTTTCCTGTCTCACTGTTTTAACTACAACCACCTTCCTCTTCCCTTTCCCCATTTCCAGTCTCTGGTGACCACCAATTTGTTCTCCATTTCTGAAATCCTGTCATTTCAAATGTGTAATAGATTTCACATTATTTTAGGTTGGCCCTTGTTTTACCTCAACATGGTTCCTTGAAGATTGATCCAAGTTGTTGCATATATCAATAGTCCACTCATTTTCATTGTTGAGTAATATTCTATGGTTATGGGTGTACCATAATTTAACCAGTTTAAGCACTTAATCACTGAGGGGGATATGGGTTGATTCCATTTTCTAGATACTACAAATAAAGTTGCTATGAACATTCATTTACAGGTTTATGTGTGAACATACATTTTTATTTCTCTGGAGTAAATGCCCAAGAGTATAAATAGTGGGTTTTATGATGTTTGTATTTTGTCTTCTAAGAAACTGCCAAACTTCTCCAGAATGGCTGTACAATTTTACAATTCTACCTGCAATGTATGAATGATCCAGTTTCTCCGCATCTTTGCCAGAATGTGGTATTGTCACTATTTTTATTTTAGCCTTTCCAACAGATGTGTAATGACATCTCATGATTTTAATTTGCATTTC